AAAAGGGCGGCATACAAATAAAGTGAACTGAACTGAACTGAACTGAAAAAAAAACCCATGTCCAGTTGCCTTTTGAAATCACACCTTTGGCACAACCATGACTGAGAATCTACACAGACACATTAAAAGATACCTGCAAATTCATTAGTACCCACTTTCCTACTACAGAGAAAGTTCCCAAACTGGCAAAATATTATTCACCACAAGCTGCTCATTTTTTTTATTTTTCAAATTTAGAAACCTCCCATCTCCCTCACAGAGGAACTCTGGGCAGTGTACAAATAAAATGTTAAAACTTAAAACCTGTACATGAAATTTAAAAAGAGAAAAAGTTGGCTAAAATTTAATATTAAAAGTTATTTAAAAGGAGGGAGGGGGGAGAGACTTCAGGATGGTAACCAGCCCCAAGACTGCATGCTCCTCTATGAGCCCCAAACAATGCAGCAGAGCCATGTTATCAAGCCTTCCTGAAAGGCCAGGGGAGGGCTGGAGGTCTGCCTCACTTTGGGGGGGGGGGGGATATTCCAAAGGGAGGGGGCAGTAGCTGAGAAAGCTCTCTTTCTGTTGCCAAATATTCCTTGTACGATGGCCAACTGGCAAGGAAAAGTACTGGATTCTAGCCTGGAGTCCACCAATATGTACAGACAAAATGGTAGGAACTGTGCCAGTGAAGCTCTGCAAGAGACAACCGCACCCGTTCATCCCAAAGCCACTGCAGCCCCGATATAAGCAGCTGCAGCAACAACCACCTCCCTTCACACAGTGACTTATTAGCTTTGTACCAGAGAGGTGGTATGAAGAGTGTTGTGGGTGTTTTCAGATATGTCAGATCTGACAGCCTCACACCACACCACAGGACATGCATTACAGTTCTGTCTTTCTTTCAAAACTCTTCTACCTCACCATCCCAATCCTCTTTGCATGGCATCTGAACACTTTCTGTGGAGAAAAATTCCCCATTACTCATGGGCATCTTTGACACAAAGACAAGACCAGGAGGCATAACTTTCATAATTATCTTGGTTCCCTTAGGGCAGGTATGTTCAAAGTCTGGCCCATTTTCAAATTTCGAGCACCCCGCAGCCTCTTCTCCCCGCCGGAGTTATTTGTTTAGTCTTTCATAAAATAGTTCATTTGCATTTAATGTTAATGGTTCAAAGAATGTCAGGCTGAATGGTCGGCCCCATACATTTTCACCTCACCAAATCTGGCCCTCCTAGCAAAACGTTTGGACACCCCTGCCTTGGGGCTTAGGCTATAGTTGGGTTTTTAACACACACACATGATGAAACCTGATTATCAAACTTGTTTCATAAAAATCAATTATCCCAACGTATTATACTGCTTGAATGTACTGGGCCCAAGAAGTCATCCTTACTGTGCTTCTGATATCTCTATTGCCTTTGTTTTTTCCAGAATTGGCCTGCACACAACTTCAGGTGCAATTCTAGGTGTGTTTATGTGGAAATAAATTCCACTAAAATCATTAGGATATATTTTCTTCTTAACGTTAAACTGTCAGTTAGCCCCTTATGAGGTTGCTGCCATCTGAGCAGCAAGCTAAAAACTAGCAATTTGGATAAAAAGGGAAGCGGAACATAATCTGCTTTAAAAATTACAATTTGTATGCCTATCATAATGCTAAAATCTAGAAAATTCCATTTTGGTTTCATTTTTTTAATGTTTTGTCTTGCCTACTTTAAATAACACTCTAGGTCACCTTTTCCCTTGCAATCAATGCTTTGTAGTGAACAAAAATGAAAAATTATCCATTTGCTCTCAACAAATTTATGGCGCACCACGGTTCGCCCANACAATTAATCAGTGGAACAGCTTGCCTCCAGAAGTTGTGAATGCCCCAACACTGCAAGTCTTTAAGAAGATGTTGGATAGCCATTTGTCTGAAACAGTATAGGGTTTCCTGCCTAGGCAGGGAGTTAGACTAGAAGATCTCCAAGGTCCCTTCCAATTCTGCTATTGTATTGTATTGCCTGTTGTTTGGCATTTGGAGAGGGGTGGGGGAGTGATTATCCCTTAACACCCCCCTCTCCCTGGCCAAATAGGAATGATTCCCCTCCAACATTTTTTCATTGCCAGTTCCCGTGTGTTATGCTATCACAGGCCATCAAAATGCTGCTCAGGTTCCTGTAATGCCACGATAAATGCACATATAAAATAAAATGTAACTTCTTTCCTTCTTTTTCTTTAAAAAAAAATTCCATTACTGCTTTAAGGGATAGAATACATTTTAAAACCTCAGCATCTTATTTGAATGCTCAGTTCAATCTTCTCTACATTAGTATCTTCCAGATGTCCTAGACCAGTGATGGCAAGCCTATGACACATGTATGACTTGTCATGTTATTTTTAATGACACATCTAGAAGCCACATGAAAAGATGGTGTGTTCTTGTACATTCTTGCACGATTTTCAGAGACTCCAGAGCAGTGGTTCCCAACATGGGAGGGAGGTAATTTGATTTTTAATGGGGGCAATTTGAACCTTGTTTAAACCAAGTCAATGGCCTTTTAGGCTTCCTCCGTGTGAGTAGAGTTCACTTTTTGAGTAAAGTAAGAATTATATGTCACAGGGAGGGCATCAGGATTTTAGAGATGTTTAGGTGGGGCATGTTGGGAACCACTGCTCCAGAGGCTGGGCGAAGCAGGGCCCTCTTGTGTGACTTTCAGAGGGTACAGAGCACACTCCATTTTAGTATGGCCTCTGCACTCTCCAAAAATTCCAGGAAGTTCTTGTGTGATTTTTGGAGGCTCCAGAGGCATGAAAGAATGTGGTATGCTCTCACATGACCTCCAGACCTCCTGGAAGTTGTATGAAAGGGCCCTGATCTCATGTGGCTCTGGAGCCTTTGAAAATCGTGCAACATGAGGCATCCTTTTCTGTTCTCTTCAGGCTGCAAGGCCATGCAAGATCATTCTCTGAAGTTTCCAGGCCTTTTGCAACCCAAAACTGCCTTGGATAGGTGGCTTTTGTTCCTGAGAGATAACACCAAATCAAAAAATATATTTATGTAAACTTTCTTATTTATTAAACTTTTATGTTGCCCATCTCACTATCCCAAATGACTCTGTTATAAATTGTTTCTCTTTTGCCTGGAGTGGGATGATAGGGCAACAGAGACAAGTTAGGTCCACATTTTTGTCACATCACACGCTATTACTGTTCTAGAATATAACCGCAAGATCTGTGATAGCTAGAAAAGATGGGAGTTGTAGTCCAACATCCCTGAAGATGCAAAGTTGCTTAAAATCAAGGTATGTAAATGCAACATCCTTCCTTCTCATAAGAATGCTAGAATCTTTAGCTTCAAAAGCAAATGTTGGTAATATAATTTTTCTAGGGTAATTGTGTTACCCATTGTTTTAAAATTTATTTGCAGTTTGCAATTGCATTAATTCTGTGTACTTTATGTCCTCATATACCTGGAGGGTGGAGTTATGAAAAGATCAACATTCAAGCAAAATATAGTGTTGCAACATCTTACAACTTTCTAGAAATGTCTTTTATTAATGTATGATATCAACTTGAAAAATATAGAACCAACTAAATGAGGAAAAGTGACTCAGCTGTGTATGTGATCTGATACTAAAGGCATAAAAATGGGGGGGGGGATTGCAAAAGAATTGGAGGCAGAAAAGTAACAAACTTCAGTATTTGAGCACTCACCTGGTATGATGAAGGTAGTTGCTGGTAAGTGGGCATTTTGCACAGTATTTTCACTGGCTACCAAATGGACACTGACATCCCCAGTTGCATTTCCTTTTGTGCTTCTTATCACCTCCATCTCTGCTCTCCCGTCCATTACTTTACCTAAAAGAGACAGGATATAATTGGAATCAGCCAGTATAGATTCCATGAAACCACAAGCGAATTAGTACCATATCTTATGCCAGCCTTCTCTAATTTTGTGACCTCCACTTTATTAAGACTGCAGATCCTAAATTTTCGAGCCAAAATAGGCAACAGAGAACTTCTCTATTACAAAAATAGGTGCCAAGGTGACTATTGTCAATCATGATAATCAGGGGGTGGGGTGCTTCTAGTTCCATATCTCTCCTTGCCACCTTAGTTTTGTCTCTCCTGGACAGATGAGCATACTTTTAAATAAAGAATGAGGTTACAGCCCACCCATTAGTTTTGCTTTCTGTCAGTGCCTATAAAGCAATACTTGGAAATGAGGCCGAAGCCTGGGACTTTGTAGCATACCAACTTTCAACTATTTTTTAAGCATCTAAATAAATACAAGCATAAATAAAATTGGAGGTAGGGATAGAGTGCCTGGATGGGGCACTCTGGGGGCATGGCATTGCTTTATTCCTATCATAAACTGTCTCCATATGTATGCATAAATTACTGAGTGTGACAACCTTATTTTTTTCAGTGGAACAAAACTGCTCTTTGAAGCTTCTGAGAAATTGCGAGACTTAAATAGATGCAATGCAGGTTTTATTTTTCAAAGCACTTCTTCCATTTATTCAATGGTACAACTTTTGTTGCTGTTATAGTGTTACTGTACAGTTGCTTATTTATTTCTACTGTAACTCCTCATAATCTACTGAATTGGGAGCCCACAGTTTGCTAAATTGTCTGTCTGTAACTATTATGAATTCTTGTAAGCTCCTTCTTATGTCAACAGTGATAGCTACCTAACAAAAACTAGATTGTGCCTTTATCATTCCAGCAAGGATCATTAAGAAGGGTTTAATTACCACTTAGTATCTGATTAAGACATAGCACATCAGAGATTTTCCATGACAGGGCAAAGCAACAATGAGTCTCTTCAAAAAGGCTGCCTTTCTCTTCTGTTTTATATTCTGTTACACTGAACATAGTTCTGAAAACAGAAAAATATTCAGGCAGAAAGTCCAGATGTTCACTCTCCTGCTATCCTTTCTCCACCTTGATTATGGGCTAAATTAAAGCCTTTATTTAAAGAGGTAATAAGTAATGACTTTAGCTAGGATAATTGTATTGATTTGGAAATCTCTTCATGTGGCAGCTGCCCTCCTTGTTTTTCCTTTCCTTCAATAAGTTCCATTTTTATATTTGGATATTTGGCTTCATTTGCCAAAGGAACTTCTCATTAAAATGATGTCTATATGCAAGACTGCAGGAATATTCATCTTTTGTGTTTCAAGACTGGCACAAGGTTGATTAAATTTTATATTGCTCAGAATTACTGCTCACAAGGTTCAAAGGTCGCTCTTTCTTAGGACTGGGTTGAAGGGAAAAGTCGTAGATGAAAGGGCTAAAAACGCTTTCTGGAGAAACCTGGATAGCAATAGCAATAGCACTTAGACTTATATACTGCTTCACAGTGCTTTACAGCTCACTCTAATGGGTTTACAGAGTCAGCATATTGCCCTCAGCAATCTGGGTCCTCATTTTATCCACCTCAGAAGGATGGAAGTCAACCTTTGAACTGCCAAATTGCAGGTAGCCGGCAGTCAGCAGAATAGCCTGCAGTACTAAATCACCACAGCTCATGTTGTGGATATTATGGAAAAGTTCAACTCACCTATTGGCAGCCTATTTTAAGTATCTTCCACCACAGAATTCTTGCACAAAAGGATCTTCAAGTACTTTTTTTTACACATTCCCACATTCCAATTTCATACACACATATCCCTAAATATTTTTTGTAAATTAGACTGGTTAAAAGAAAATGCCAGCACTCCCTACTGTGTTCCAATCAGAGGTGGGTTGCTCCCGATTCAGCCAAAATGGTATTGGCAGAGGTGGGAGACACTACCGCGTTGTATGCGCACAAGCACGAGGGAACCGGTAATAAACCGGTTAGCAACCCACCACTGGTTCCAAAGTCTGGAATTTGATATTCAGAACACAGTTCAAAATCCTGAAGGGCTCATTGTTTTAAAGAATACTCAAATCAACAAGCAGATTTAAAAGCATATGACTGACAGACAACAGAAACCAGGAAAGTTCAGTTGGAAAGATGTAAACAACAAGTTTCCTAACATTTAGGACACAAATTAATAACGTGTGCAATGAACAGATTAACAGGTTATAAATTGAAATAAATGAAATAATACAATTGGACTTTTTTATATCAGGAACACACAAAGAATAAATCATGATCACCAGTATTATAGGATTTTTTAAAAAAATTCTGTGTTCTATACAATAATTAAGCTATGTTCTGTTAATGCTGGAATTCTCTTGTTTGTTTGGGTGTTTTTAATATCATTTATTAAGAGATTTTTACATGAATAAAAGATAAACAAATAATTCAGAAAAAGGAAAAAGAAAAGAAAGAATAGAAAAAAGTACAGAAAATGAAGAAAAAGATATTTTGAAAAACAACTTCTGACCTTCTTTACACTTACAAACTCATCACTTCACCTCCTTTAAATATATACCGGTACATTGTATAGTTTCTTTAATTTATTGTTGACATTGATTTGGATTATCATCCCATAATTTGGATTTGAAAAGAGAAATATATAAATACAAACTAGCCTAAACCATCTCTTAAGTCAAAGGCAACAAACTGCTATATGTCTGTGTGCAGAGCTGCAATTACCTGACTTTAATTAAGAGCGCTTGATTTTAGAAATGTAAACAGAATCAGACTTCCTGTAGTAGCGACTACAAATGCTACACGGTATCTGCATTTAACAGTACTACTACAATCATTATTATTAACTCTTCTTAAATCTCGATCATACATGCCCCTGCATGAAACATAGAATGAGGTTCTGAGGTTTGTAAATTTCTCAGAAGCAGGGGCCAAGCCCTTATGTGAGTGTCATATCAATTGCTTTAGTAAAAATCTCACAGGTATATGTATCACTCAATGAACCTTTTTGCAGGAGCCTCATAAAAGCAGCTATTTTGATATGAAGAGGTTCATGCTGTGTTATATACCCATCTGTTGGCAGGATCCAGATCCTGAAAAATCTGTTTTATTTATCAAACTGATTTAAAATTAATACACAACATCTGACTTATTTCCAAATAGATGTTTAGAAGGAGCCCAAATATTGTCTAGATCAGGGGTGTCAAACTCTTGTCACGACGGCATCACATGATGTATTCCCCCCCTTCACTAAACTGGGTGTGGCCAGCACGTGACTCATCCAGCCCACAGGCCACAAAATTGACAGCCCTGGTCTACATGGAAGAAGACTGCCACAGAGTAGATTCAGTTTAGTAATACTGTCACTTGTATTCTTCATTCCTTGCTGCTCTATATAGACACTTTCCAAGAAGATATTGTGTCAATATTTGTTCCTTCAAAGTTATATTAGTTGGTTTTTATTGTGTGTGTGTGTGTGTGTGTGTGTGTGTATATATATGTATATATATACGTATATATACGTATATATATATAC